GAGGGAGGAAAAAAAGAGGTGAGGGGGACATGCTTTTAATCCTAGCACTGGGGAGACAGACAGGCAGAACTCTGAATTCAAGACCAATTCATCCTACACAGTGAGGTCCAGGCCATCGAGGCTTCATAGTAAAACCCTGTCTATAAAATAGAATATTTGAGAGCGACAAAACACTCTTCAAATTTGATTAATGAATAACAGTGATTAAAACACATGTTCACAATTAACCAATTACTCAAAATTCTTTTAGAATAATATGAACTAAATTCCTGTTCAGTTAACAAACTGCTCTCACATCCATTACACACTGAATCTTTACCACAGCCCCATGGGAGGCTGAGCAGCTGACACCTTCACTTCCAAGCTGCAAAACTCAAGATGCCCAAGAGGGTCCCAGGCACGCAGTGTTGGTGTTTGGGGAAGAAGTACTAAGTGCCTGGTAGTGCACAGTGCATGCATGTGTGTGTGTATTTATTCCTCAAAACAGTGCATTGTGAAGGAATAAGCTTCAGTGAATGAGAAAGCTAGGAAACATTTGAGTCCAAATCTGTGTCTGAAGTCCTCATTCTTTCCAACACTGGAGTTTTAAGTCTCATTATCTGCATTGTTTTTTGTTTTTGGAAGCACATGGACACCTGTAATATAGTTTAAAAGAAAAACCACAGCGCAGGCAAGCCTGCCTGGAGGAGCTGGACAAAGAAGACAAAAGCCATTTAAGCTGGCATAAAGGTCAGACACATGGCAGACAACCAGCCACATGGGAAGGGGAGATGCTTTAGAAAAAAAGCAAAATCAAAATATTGGGGAGAAAGCCCAAAGTGTTAAAGAAAACATCTTAAATAGAGGCAGAAAAAAATAAAAGTTGGGTTTTCTGAATAATTCAGAAAAGCAGGAGACTTCCTGTGCTTCGAATGGCTGTAGCCCACAACCTTCTGCCTTTCTGGGGGTTTGTTGCTGTTGCTGCTGATGCTAATTGTTTGTTTTTCTGGTTTGGTCTTTTGTTTTGTTTTGTTTTGTTTTGTTTTGTTGAGTTTTTTTGTTTTTTTTGTTTTTAATCTCACTGAGAGATGGCTCAGCGATTAAGAGCACTGACTGTTCTTCCAGAGGTCCTGAGTTCAATTTCCAGCAACCACATGGCAGCTCATAACCATCTGTAATAGGATTCAATGCCCTCTTCTGGTGTGTCTGAAGGCAGCTACAGTGTACTCATATACATTAAATAAATAAATAAATAAATAAATAAATAAATAAATAAATATTGTTTTTAAAAAAATCTCTTTAATAGAAAAAAAGAATCTTTGAACAATGTAATAAATACTATTTACTTGCTTTGGATTTTCCAAGTAATCAGCTTTTACAACCTTAAACTGACGCTGAACTATTAAGTTATGTTCTCTTCTGTGCCCCTCAGCCAGAGGGCTCTGCATATGTGTTTGCATGCATGTTATGCTAATAGATGGTGAAAACAGAAAAAAAAAAACTTCATACTTTATGAAATTTTCTGAAAAGGCTGGATAAAGCAAGCTAGCATTAGGTACAAGCCTCCATCCCATCATTTGAGGAACTGCTGTGAGTTCAAGGCCAGCCTGGGCTTCATAACAAGATCCAGTTTTTAAAACACTTTTTTTTTTAATTAAATGAGTGTGACTTTTCTACAAGGGCTGGGGCATGTAGCTCTGTGGTGGTGGGAGGTATCTGCCCTGTACGTATCCATCCTGCCCTGGGTTCCATTCCTCATAATGGGAAGGAGAAAGGGAAGGAAAACAGAAACAGGCAACATGGGCACACACATAGACCATTTTCCTCCCCTCCCCAGAGAAGTTCAACAAAAGCTAGAATCACAGACTTATACAGCCCAGCACAACTCCCAATATGATTTCTCTGTATTAACAGAAAGGGAAGGTAAGCCTGTAAAACATTACAGTAAATGCTGAGCTAATCTTTCTAAGAAAGCTAGCTAGGAGCGGGGCAGTGGTGGTGCACGCCTTTAATCCCAGCACTTGGGAGGCAGAGACAGGCAGATTTCTGAGTTTGAGGCCAGCCTGGTCTACAGAGTGAGTTCCAGGACAGCCAGGACTACACAGAGAAACCCTGTCTCGAAAAACCAAAAAAAAAAAAAAAAAAAAAAAAAAGAAAGCTAGCTAGGTGTGGTCTTGTACACCTATAGTCCTAGCACTAGATAGTTTTAGTCCAGCTTGGGCTACAAATCAAAAGCCTGCCTCAAAAAAGAGGGGTTGGGGTGGGGAGGGGAGGGTGGCTGATTTATCAGAGCTTTCTTTCCAATTTGTTTTCTCTCATTGCTAGTTTTTTGTTCCCCAACTTCCTGGCTATACTTTGGTTCCAAAATTAGATACCTCAGTTATGCAGCTAGATAGAAGGAAGAAATAAGCAATGGAAACAGCTATTTTTTTTTTCAATCTCCTCAAAGAGATGCTGTGGAAAGACAGAAACTAAATAAACTTTCTCTTAATATTATCCAAATATTTTCTTAACTAAACATGTGTGATAAGGAAGAAGGCTGCTTTACCACTTGTCTTTTGCTTTTGAAATAATACTGACCATTATTTAAAAATTCAAACAATGCAAAAAGGTATAAAGTTCAAACTCCTCTAAAATCTTAGCAGTCACCAAGTTTGACCCAATGAATATATAAATATCCATGCATACGTGCTTGAGTTCGTGTGTGCCACCAAGTTTGACCCAATGAATATATAAATATCCATGCACACATGCTTGAGTTTGTGTGTGCGGAGTGTGTGTATGTGTGTGTGGAGTGTGTGTATGTGTGTGTGGAGTGTGTGTGTGTGTGTATATATGATGTGGGTGCACATACAAGCATTTGTATGTGTGAGTGGGTACATGTGTGCCACAAATGTGTGTGGAGGTCAAAGGACAACCTTAGTGTTGGTCCTTGCATTCAACTTGCTGGAGACAAGGAACTCTTTTTTGTTCATGACTCCATATGCTAGCCTCGCTGGCCTGAGAATCCCAGGGATTCTCCTGTCTCTGCCTACCATTTCCCCTGAGGAGCACATATGACAGACATATCCTACTATGACTGGCTTTCACATGAATTCTGGGGATTCAGCTCAAGTCCACATAATTATGTGGCAAGTGCTTTCTCTGCTGAGCTACTTCCCAAGCTCCACATGCATTTTTTTAAGATTTATTTTTATTATTTGTAATTATGTGTGGCTATGTGTGTTGTATCTGGGTATGTGCACATGAGTGCAGGTGCCCATGAAGATCAGAGGCATCAGATCCCCTGGAGACAGAATTACAGACACATGTGAGCCATATGCCATGGGTTCTGGGAAACAAAGTGCAGTCCTCTGGAAGAGCCTTTAAGAGCTCAGCAGTCCTACATCCTAGAGCTGTCCTACATCCCATCCCTCGGCCTACTCTCTCTTTCTTTCTTCCTTTCTTCCTTCCTTCCTTTCTTTCTTTCTTTCTTTCTTTCTTTCTTTCTTTCTTTCTCTCTTTCTTTCTTTCCTTTTTATATGTGATCTTAAAAAAGCATCTATAATTGATTTCATTTCCTGAATACTGTACCATGATACTGAAAAGAAGAGTGAGCAAAAGTTAACCTGGGGAGTGAGTTCTCGGGCTGTCTTCACAGATGCCTGAATGCCTTCCACTGTGGATTTATTGGCAGTACCAACAGCAGCTGCCTTCTCCGCTGTGGCTCCAAGCCTTCCTGAATGGTTCTCAAAGTTGGCTGCCCTCTCGTCAAATACCTTGAGAAAAAAAAATAAAGACATCAAGAAAATGTATTTTCATATAATACATTGAGAAACCTGAGGAAAGGTCTTTTTAATCTGATTCTGCAACTACTCAAAGATCTTATTAATAAGACAGTAGTCAAATGGCAAATCTTGACCTTTATGTATTTCCTCAGAGGTTCAGCTTTGAGCATCATATACATGCACAAAGAGGCACATCCCCGAATCTTCATTTAAACCTACTTACCTAGAACACACACGGGACTATATACTTTGCAACAAGTTCACCAAATGTGAAGACTAAATAATTTCATTCCCCAAAGGCAGTCTTACTTTGCAGAGGACAGACAAGTGGGTGCATTACAATTCCCAAGTATCCAGAGTCCTTACCTGGCTTCAGCCTCCTCTCATGTATCCCATTACCATTAATGTTGTAAAAACTCTGCCCTTGACCTCAATGGAGAAAAAACGATAGCTCATACTCATACAAGACAGAACATAGAATGCAAAAATGGGTGAGTTTATTAGTTCTAAATGCAAAACCATCTACTTAACTTTTTAGTTGGTTCTCCGAATCATTTAAAAAGTTAACTTTTCCTTCCCTTATGGATATGAGAAACTGTACATTAGCAAAACAAACAAACAAACAAAACAAAACAAAAAAACTAACTTAAAATGACAAAAAGGTTTCTATTTGTTTGAGTGACATTAGGATTGATACCTGGAAAAACAAGCTATATCAGACAGCACTGGATCAGGTTTATGCTACATACAAAGCCTGCCAGGAGCTTGGCAGAATACTTCCTTTTTGTTTTTTTTAAATCCTATTGATGATATTTGAGAGTACCACTTCCTTACTTGTATCCAACTCTGACTCAGGTTTTGTAGTTCGACAGCAAGCTCCATTCTTGTTCCAATGTTCTACATCCACCATCTGAGGTCCCTTGATCCATCCTGACCTTTTGTTTTGACTCAGCTTCCTAGCTAGGCAGTGTTGACACATGCCATTAATCCCAGCACTTGGGAGACAGAAGCAGGCAGATCTCTGAGTTTGAGGTCAGCCTAGTCTACAAAGTGAGTTCTAGAAAAGCCAGGGCTGTTACCCAGAGAAACTATGTCTTGATTAAAAACAAAAATGAAGGAAAAGGACAGAAAAAGAAATGAAAGAAAGACAAAAATAGAGAATATGAATAGCATCTAAAGAGATTCCCTTTCTGGGAAACCCAGAAACAGGTATTTGTAATAAGGGTGTCAGTATGTGAAATAGCAGAGGTACACAGCAATCTTATGGGTGTAAAAGGAGAGGCACTTAACCCATTTAGAAAGCAAAGAAAAAGCATGAAGTCCTGGATCTGATCACCAAATCCTACAAGCCAGCTGTTATGGCACAATCTATTAGTCCAGCCCTGAGTCTGATCAGGAGCTCAAGGCTATCCTCAGACTCCAAAGTTAGCCTGGGGTACATGACAACAAACATTACAAAAAAGCCATATCACAAAGCTTTATCCTGATGCCCACTGATAGGATCAGGAGAAGATCAGGGTTGGATGAACTTTTCCTCTTCCCCAATTAGTGATTTAATGAATGATTCAAAGACAGCAGAGCTAAGCAACCATTTAGGGAGTAGAGAACAAGAATAGGATTTTAAACTAGCGATATGACAGGATTCAAAATGATTTGTGATGTAAAGTTACTATGCCTCAGTTATCTGTTGATGTAAAGGGCTAGGAAAAGACATTGGAAACAAACAATTTCAAAGAGAACCTCATCATATGCTTAGGAACCTATAAAGCACCTAGAATCTAGATTCTAAATGGACAGGACAAGCAGAGAGCTGAAATTCAGAAGTCTGGGACGAAAAAGTAGCAAATCACTCTAGTGTAAGGAGACTCTGAACTCAACCACCTCCTAACCTCTGCCAGAAAGAGAACGGAGAGTCACTAAGAAGCAAGAACACAACATTTACCCAAAATTTTACACCCTGGGTAGCCCTCCAAACTTTTCTCCTCTGCTACTAATTAAAGGCTACAAAAGCCCACACTTCTTGTCCTAGGTTCTTTCAGATGTTGTGTGACAGAGCCTAGACATCAAGACACTGCGAAGTTCTCTCCAAGAGTTCCATTCAGCATCTATCGTGACTGACACTACTTAGGGAACTGGGCCTCAATTACTGACAAAGCAAAGCCCTGCCCACATGGAACTTTCATGATAATATGAGCCAGACATACCAACAAAGAGACAATGCTGTGTGTGTGTGCTGTGTGTGTGTGTGTGTTGTTCTGTTTGAAACAAGATCTCACATAGCTTAGGCTAGCTATGTAGTCAAGAATGACCTTGAATTTCTAATCCTTCTGTCCCTACCTCCTGAGCGCTGGGATTCCCAGTCACCAGGTTTTGCAGGGCTGGAGTCTTTGTGCACGATAAGCAAGTACTCGACAAAGTGAGCTATAGCCCCAGCCCATCAAACATCAACAACTTCTAAGAAGAAAAGTAGGATATGGATATTAAGAACTCTCAGGGATGAGGAGTGGGGGTTTTTATGCATAGTCACACAAGAGTGAGATTTCAATAGAAAGGTGAAGAGAGTGAATAAATATAATTTGTGGAAAGAAAAGCAAGTGTCAAGGGCTTGAGAGTAGAACGTACACACATTCAAGGAACACCACAGGTATTTAAAATCAATGTGAATAGGGGAACATGAAGAGGGTGAATAGTGTCATTGTGAGGTCGAGAAGGTAGACAGGGGCCAGACTTCAGAAGTAAAGCCACTTGTTTACGTCCCATCTCTTTGCAGTTTTGCTTTCAACAGCTTTACATTAAAAGAGCTATAGTAGCTTGATATAGTGGTACACATCTATAATCTTAATATTTGGGAGATGGAGACGGAAGGAGTAAGACAAGTTCAAGGCCAGCCTGGGATACATAAATAAGACCTTGTCTCAAAAAAACAAAACAACAACAACAAAAAAAAACAAAAAAAAACCAATACAACACATTGAGAGTACCTACATAATAAAAATCCAAGCAACATTTATTTACAAATCATGCCTTTTGGGTTCTATCCTGAAGAGTTAGCTTACCAGCACATCACTGGCCTGCTATTCACTGTAATGATTCTGGCTTCACAAGGGGGACAAGGGGAGGTCACCAGAAGAGTTTACACAGAATTATTACATCAAATGAGTTTAAAGAATTGTCCTGAGTTATGTTGAGTCTACAGTGTGGTTCAGAAAGCTGTGGCTGGAGTAACCCTGACCCCTCATTTCTTCCTGACTGCAGTGATGCCTTCCCATGAGAACAACAACCAAGAAAAGCACTGAGAGGCCAGTTTTTTGAACAAACACCAAAGACACTTCCATGTCATGCTTCTTGACATGTATTGAAAAGCAGCTCCACTTGCTGTAATCTAAGGGCCACACAGACGACAACATTCACTTAAAGACAGACACAGGCAACACACTTGGTGAACTAGAACACTCTCCTCTTTTGCACTTTATCTTTTGTCCACACGTACCCTCTATACTTCAGATACCTACCTCTTCCCTATTGGGCGCATCAGGAGGAGCAGTGGCCGCCACTGCCAACAGCTTGATGGGAGTTGTAGTATCACTGAACACATCAGACACCTCTTGAGTCATAGCTTCCTGCATCTGGGCTTTAAGATCCTAAAAAATATTGTTTACAAATATAAATTTATAGCAATATCCACAAGGGACACCTGCTATCATACCCTACTCCACTGACCCATTCATTCATTCTTTCATTCATTTACTTCATAACCATTTCTTGAACATCAAATGTGTACAAAGCACAGATCTGACTCCTTTCTCGATGGACTCTATGAAACAACAGAACCTCAGGGCTGAGCACAGAGCAGGCTGTGAGGTGAAACAGAGTTCTCAGGCCAGGCCTGGTGATGACTGTATTAATTACTTAGAAAGCTCATTACCAAATTTCTATAGTTCATTATCTTAAAAGAAATAAAAAATGGGAATAACATTTATAGAGAAGCTCAATAACCTCCAGATACATGTGTATAATTGCTGAAATCAGAAAGTTGTGCCATGAAGATTGACAAGAGTTCAAGGCCAGCCTGGGCTACAGAGTGAGATACCCTATCTACATAGACATTGACTGAATAAGAGTAAACTGATATCTGCATAATCATGACAGACTCTTAATTAAATGTGAGTTAGAAAAACAGTAATTGTTGCCACTTGGCTTTCTCCTAATAAACTCTGATTTTCTATTATACTTGTCTCATTTTAATTTTCCCTAAACCCAAGAATCTCAAGCCTCAGGCCAAGGAGGGGTAGCTCAGTCAGTAAAGTGCTTGCCTTGCCACATGAGAACCTGTATGTGAGCTCCAAAACTCCCATTAACAATGCTGGCACTGGAGAGGTGCTGACAGGCAGATCCCTGGGGCTCACTGGCTGCCGAGCCTACCCTACTCTGCAAGTCCCAGAACAATGAGATGCCTTGTCTCAAAACATAAGGGTTGATGGTGCCTGACACCTGAGTTATCCTCTGACCTCGGCATGCTTGCACACACACCACACAAAAGTCTCTTCTGTCTGTTGTTTCTCAACACTAAGACATCAGAAAGCATACCAAGGAAGGTCTACCTTTAAGGAGTCCTGAAGCTGAGATGCAAGTGCTCTTGCCTGAGGACTCTCCCCCTCCCCTCGGGCAGCCAGGTCAGCCAGCTGAGCTGTTAGCTGGTCTACTCGGTCACACTTGGCAAGAAGATCTTGGCGATAAGGTCCCATCATGACATTGGCCAGCCGATGCCCTTCAGCCACAAGTCCACGGATGGCAGCCTGACCTAAACCAAAAAGAAAAACACTGAAGTTTACACAGACCCAGGGAGACAACAGTGTTGCCATTCCAGGTGATTTTAGATAGCAGTTAATAGGGGTACGGGGTTCCCTGACGAAATATAACTGGTTGGAAATACAGAAAAGTTTAAAGAGAACACACTATGCATCTGGGATTGGACCCAGAGCCTCACATAAATCTAATACTGACCTACACCCAAGCCTAACTTGTATTCCTTGACTCCTAATCTTTGCAATGAGCAGTACCCATTTACTAGATACCTTTTTAAAGCATGGTCTAGGGACGGGAAGTGTAGGATAATGGCAAACTACTTGCCTAGCACTATAAAAGCAACAAAAACAAAAATATAACCTAAAAATGTAGGTTATATATTTACTTTATTTTATTATCTTTATTTTTATTTTATGTACATTAGTATTTTGCCTGCATGTATATCTGTGTGAGGATGTCAGATCCCCTGGAACTGGAGTCATAGACAGCTGTGAGCTGCCATGTAGGTGCTGCACATTGAACCTGGATCCTCAGGAAGAGCAGAAGCCCAGTGCTCTTAACCGCTGAGCCATCTCTCTAGCCAGTTACATTTTATTACATTAACCATAACTATCTGACTGCTTGCTAATTATTATCGAATATTCATATTGTTTACATACATTCTGATAGTAACTTAGAAATGAATTAATAGAAAAAAAAAACGCTCCTAAAAACCAAACTGTAGACCCAATAGGTATGAAGATTTTAACTGCACTATGCATAGAACACGAGATTCAGTGTTTATGTCATTTCATTCCTATACCCAGTTATGCATCTGCCGAGTTCTCTAGCCCTTCACTGACACCAGACATCACTAATTTAAACACTCATCTTATGGAATGAACGTAGGAAAGGAGAGTATTATCTTTCAGCCTTAGCAAATGTGCTAGGCAATCATAAAACAAATTATGTACATTTTTCTTAAAATCAAACTTTTAGGTTATACAATCTTCAACTTTCAGCTAGGCATTGTGGCGTGCACCTTTAATCCTAGTACTCAGGAGGCAGAGACAGATGGATCTCTCTAAGTTCAAAGCTAGCCTGGCCTAGATAGTGAGTTCTAGGATACCCAGAGCTACACAGAGACCATGTCTCAAAAAAACAAACAAACAAACAAAACAACAACATCAAAAATATTTAAACTTTTACAGGATGCTGTGAGGACATTATATACCTTTTACTGTCATTTTCAAATATATATATATGCTTAATTGGGTACTTGGTAAGGACTATAAAAACAGAAATACTACAGAATGAAAATATATATAGGATTGATAATAATTACTTCAAAGCTTCAATTATAAAGCTCTTTCTGTTTATCCATAGCAAAGTTATTTACTCATTAATACTTCTCAATTAAATCATAGAGATCTTACAGGCCACATCTGGAAATGGAACCATACTGAAAAGTGACTTCCTGGTGGCTGAGAACCCTTTCAGCACCTTGTCACCAATCATTAAGTAACTGTGGCAGTGACCTGAACATCTGCACTGAGACCAGGCCTTACCAACTCCACGGTCATCTACTGTAGGATTGTCAATCCATCGCTGCGCCTGTTCAATCTTGCCCTCGAGATGGACAGCTGCCTTGGCAGGTCTGCTGTTAGCCACAGCCCTGTTGGTTTTGGTCTGCAGGTTCTGTAGTGCCGTTGCCACTTGTTTAGCCAAGGCTCGAGCCTCTGGGGAGTCTCCTTTCCCCCTAAAAAAGTAAAGATGACCATCCAGCTATAATTTACATTGTAGACAAGATTTACGTTGAGATAATTTAGTTGTTAATAACATGTTAATGAGACTGAAAATTGCTGATTACCAAATTGATTTGAAATGAATGTTTTATTTAGCCCATAAATATGAAAACAGTCTAAATTCACATTATTTTCTCCTAGCTTGAGTCAGTCTTTACAGTTATACCAAGTTACGTTAGCTGAGCTTACTCACCGCTAGATTGCCTGCACTCTCACCCTGCCATTTGTAAACTCACAAATGCCCTGTGGAACTAGGTGTGCCTAGACAGCCATGTTAGTAGTGGAAGCAGTATCAGTAATAACACAACTAGTAATGATGCTATATTTGAGTCCTAATTTTTCCAGGTATGCTACAAGCTCTCCCTTTTCATCACTTAATCCTCACATCAACCCTATGAGGTAAAGAACAGTACTAACCAAAACACGAAACCGATGCGCAAAGGTGAATAAGATCCCATTATTTAATTCAATGGAGTCAGGGTTCAAATCCAGCCCTCTTAGTTTAGAAAGCTCACTTTTCTATTTGGTTTTGATTGAGACAGGGTTTCTCTGTGTAGCCCTGGCTGTCCTGGAACTTGCTCTGTAAACCAAGCTGGCCGCCAACTCACAGAGTCCTACCTGTCTCTGCCTCCCAAGAGCTGAAATTAAAGGTGTGTGCCACCACCCAGCTTAGCATGCTTACTTTTAAACTACCACCTATATCACCATATGGAAGTACCATATAACCCCATTCTCTGCCATAACTGATTGAACTGGGTGGTTTTCTGTTAAAAAACAACACACCTGCAGTCACAAATTACACTTAATTAGATTCTAGTGTTTCTTAAAGTACCGTGTGAATAAAAGGTACCTGGGACTTTATTTTTAGATTCAGATAGTTAAATCCATCATCAAAAGAGTCTAAGTGGATAAAGGACCTCCATATAAAACCAGATACACTGAAACTAATAGAAGAGAAGGTGGGGAAGAGCCTCGAATACTTGGGCACAGGGGAAAAGTTCCTGAACAGAACACCAATGGCATATGCTCTAGGATCAAGAATTGACAAATGGGACTTCATAAAATTGCAAAGTTTCTGTAAGGCAAAGGACACTGTCAATAGGACAAAATGACAACCAACAAATTGGAAAAAGATCTCTACCAATCCTTCATCTGATAGAGGGCTAATATCCAATATATACAAAGAACCCAAGAAATTAGACTCCAGACAACCAAATAACCCTATTAAAAAATGGGGTATAGAGCTTAACGAAGAATTTTCAACGGAGGAAACTCGAAATGCTGAGAAGCACCTAAAGAAATGTTCAGTATCCTTAGTCGTCAGGGAACTGCAAATCAAAACAACCCTGAGATTCCATCTCACACCAGTCAGAATGGCTAAGATTAAAAACTCAGGTGATAGTAGATGCTGGCGAGGGTGTGGAGAAAGAGGAACACTCCTCCATTGTTGGTGGGACTGCAAGATGGTGCAACCACTTTGGAAATCAGTGTGGTGGTTCCTCAGAAAATTGGACATAGCATTACCTGAGGATCCAGCTATACCACTCCTAGGCATATACCCAGAAGATGCTCGAACATATAACAAGGACACATGCTCAACTATGTTCATAGCAGCCTTATTTATAATAGTCAGGATCTGGAAAGAACCCAGATGTCCTTCAACTGAGGAATGGATTCAAAAAATGTGGTATATTTACACAATGGAGTATTACTCAGCTATTAAAAACAATGAATTCGAGAGGTTCCTAGGTAAATGGATGGAACTAGAAATTATCACCCTGAGTGAAGTAAGCCAATCACAAAATAACACACATGGTATTCACTCACTGATTATTGGATATTAGCCCAGAACCTTGAAATGCCCAAGATGCAACTCACAGGCCACATGAAGCTCATGAAGAAGGAAGACCAAGTGGGGGTGATTCAGTCCTTCTTAGAAGGAGCAACAAAATACTAAAGGGAGCAAATATGGAAACAAAGTGAGGGACAGAAACTGAAGGAGGGGCTGTCTGAAGTCTATTCCACCTGAGCATCCATCCCATGTGCAGTCACCAAAGGTAGATGCTGATGTGAAAGTCAGGAAGTGCATGCTGACAAGAGCCTGATATAGATGTCTCCTCAGACGTCTGCAAGAGTCTGACATATTCAGAGGCAGATGCTCACAACTAGCCATTGAACTGATCATGGGGTTCCCAATGAAGGAGTTAAGAGTGAAGACCATTGGAGCTGAAAGGGTTTGTGGCCCCATGAGGAGAGCAACAATACCAACCAACCACAGACAGCTCCCAGGGTCTAAACCACCAGCTTGGGAGCACTTAGGGAGGGATCCATGGCTTCAGCTGAATATGTAAGAGCGGAGGGCCCTGCTGGGCATAGGTGGGAGAAGAGGTCCTTGACCTCATGAAGGCTGGATGCCCCAGGGCATGGGAATTTGAGGGTGGGGAGATGGGAGTGGGGAGGTAGGTAGGGGTTACATCTGCAGAGAAGAAGGAGGAGGAATGAGGGGATAGGGGGTTCCTGGGTGGGTGGGGGATGGGGTAAGGGGACAATATATGAAATGTGAATAAAACATCCAATAAAAAAAAAGAAAAGAAAAAAAAAGAGACCCTGATAAATTATGTCTAGGATAAGGTAATGGTCCACATTTTAAACAAAATTTGCAGATAATCTTTGGTCCATACATACTTCAGAACAATTTTCAGTCAACCAGCAGAGGATCCAGGACTGGAAAATCATGTTAGATCTGAAGCCTGGTAGGTCAAACCAAAGGAAGCACCCTCGAGCAAAGTAAACAAAAGGAGTGAACAGACATACAGGACCCATTTGTCAGCTAAGACACCGAAAGGACATGATAGTGTCTAGTGACTTCTAGTGACTTGGCCACAGTTCAGGCTGGCCTTCCATTAGTTGCCTCTATGTATTTTCAATAACCCTTTACTTTGTACTTGATCTAATTCCTTGCAGCCTAAGAACCTGAACAAGTGTATTGACACAGAAATAAAAAATAGAAAATTAAAAAAACAGAAACAACAACAACAAAAACAAAACCATATTAGTCTCAAGAACAGAAACTGTCCCAAAAGAACTAACTCCAAAAATGTGACTCTGACCATTTAAGAAAAGGAAAAGATGGGGCTGAGATGGCTCAGCAGTTACGAGCACTGACTGCTCTTTCAGAGGGCTCAAGATCAATTCCCAGCATCCACATGGTGGCTCACAACTGTCTGTAACCCAATTCCAGGGGATTCTATGCCTTCTTCTGACCTCTGTAAGCACCAGAATGCATGTGATGCCCAAACACCCATACAACATAAAGTAAGTAACAATTTAAGAAAGAAAAAAGAAAATACAAAGAATGCGGTCAAATTTATACCTTGAGATCACTCAGTCACAGAAAAGTACCTTCATCTGGCTTATCTATAAAGATGAAAATACAATGCTGGGTAGTGGTGGCACATGTCTTTAATCCTAGCACTTGGGAGGCAGAGGCAGCCGATCTCTGAGTTTGAGGTCACCCTGGTCTGCAGAGGGTTCCAGGACAACCAGGGCTACACAGAGAAACTTTATCTCAGGAGGGAGAGAAAAAAAAATTAAACATCTGGTAAAATGACTCATTTTAAAATTTTCCTTATTATTTTAAATATCTCTAGCCTCCCTCTTACAAAGTTAGATACACCATGTTTACCACGGTTTTCACATGACTAGGGCTGCTTCTGGGTATTTGTGTACGTCTGTTTATGTTACAAAGATAAGCATGATGAGGGCATTCAAGACCACACATGAAGGTCTACTGTTATCACCATTACCAGTAGTTATCTCTTGGTCATCTAAAAAACATTCTGAGTATCTATGTAATACACTGTGTTAGGTCCTAGGAATTCACAGCCTCTGCCTTTCTGCTTTCTTAGCCAGCAATGCCCTCGTTGTCAGGATTCTAATGAATCTCTTACTTTGGGAGGATAAAAATAGGCATTTTTCTCACAGAAGAACAGAAATAGAACATCTAAGTTAAGTGGAAAAAATGGAATATTCCCAGATGTGTGACTTTGGTTATCCTTGGAAAACAGTGCTGCAGGACTGGGGTAGAAAAGAGCCACTTCTTTCCCATCATTACCTCTGGAACTTTGGTGAGGACAGGTTGAGAGGGTCTGGCAAGAGGAATCCAGCCACTCTACTACTCCCCTGACCAAGATCAGTCCTCCTCTAGCTCTCAGAAGGCCGTCCTCCTGGACAAAGTAATCATTCTGGAGAGATACACATGGAGCAGTGAAGGAAGACAAGGGCACCAACCTTAGACACCAGATGGGCCGGCCAGACGGCCAGACCACCCTCCTCACATCCTACTGTAGAATGTTTTAGGAAATGGTGCTGCTTTGGTTTGTTTTGGTTTGGCTAGATTTCTTCAAATAAAATTTGAATTTATGGTCTTACATCAAATTCATGATGGAACCACAGGAGAACTTGAATTTCTGATCTTCTCTCTACCTCCCAATTTCTGGGATTATAGATATCTTCCACCACGTCTTGTTTTATGAAATGCTGGTAACCAAACTCAGCCCCTACACAAGAACTCTACCGATTAAGCTGTATCCCTAGCCCATGGGGCTGTTGTTGCTGTTATTTTAAAGAGAGCAATACATTTGTCAGAACAAAGGAATAACTCTTTTCTACATAATCAAGGTAGGTGTGATGAAAGCCTTCAGGAGAGGAAGCTGTGGCAAGGATGTTATTATAGGAACAATCATCCAGGAAATGTAATTTAAGAATCCTTTATGTAATTGCTACTTAAGAAATAACACTGCTGGGAAGGGAGAAAGTGCCTTCTTACAATTCCTGTCTCACTCACACACACACACAGGAGTCTTTTCACAGCTAACTAAAAAATCATTTTCTTTGTGTCGAGGACAGACTTGTAACAAACAGAATATAACAAGAAAAATTATACCTTAAAAATGATAAAAATAGAGCTTAAACATGAGTTCTCAGAAGGCTAAATATATTCATTTAAAACCATTTGATCAGCAACAAATCAGTAAAATTCAATCACATTACTGTACATTGTACAACATCTGTACATCAGATATTACAGAGGCAACATCTGACCTAGCCATGTCACAAACCTATGTAGCCTATGCGTTTAATATGCATTATGTCTGAGGTAAGGTCCAAAGCTGTGCATGCTGGGGATTAGATATGCATACACCTAACCTATGGGGAGTTAACTCCCCATGCTCCTAGAGTAAAATAAGAGAGGGAGAGGGAGTGGGGCGTGAAATGAATAGACACTAGCATGAAACTAAGATGTCAGATACGTACTGTCTTCGCAAGTCTCCTAATTTAGAGGTCAGAGCAGCTATCTCTCCAAGGGAGCGGAGGATGTCATCCCTCTCCTTGGGATCATCACATAATTCTGCAATCTTCCGAGCTTCAGCCAAAGCCCCTCGAATCTGTTCTTCTCCTTCAGGTCCACCATTTGGATCTGCCAGCCAATTCTATACACCAAAATAGACAATGTAATCTACCCAGGAACCACACTTAAACTTATCCATCAGAAATGTCTCTAAAGTAGTCACACTGCATACTGGCATTTGGTTTTTAGAGTGCTATTCTAATCATTTTATGAAGGTTATTAGCTCAGGTAAGATCAAGTCACTCTTTTCTTCCCTAGGTACCATCATGTCATATTCCTCCAGCACCCCAAATACTAAGGATCAAACCTAGCCATACACTCTTACCACTGAGCTATACTTCTAGCCATGTTGATTTCCATTAAAATAAAGTTCCCAGGCTGGGGTTTTAGCTTAATAGTACAGTGCTTGACCAACATGCATGCACAAGGCCCTGAGTTTGATATCCAAACTGAAAGAAAAAAGGTAAATAACAATAAAAAGGAATAAAATATCTTCAAAGTTTTATCCCATCTTTGAACTATGAGACATTTTTTCCAAAGTTTTTAAGTATTTGTACTTGTTAAATACTTTAAAAATCTTTTATATAGAAAGAATCTGAAATTTGAATGCCACTATGACCTAATACAGTTGTTGAGGTTTTGTCTTTTACTGTCTATCATAATGCTAAGTGCAGACCCCCCAAGACCTGGAGTCTGCACATGGATGCTAGCGACCCTGCCCCTAGTTAACTATGGTTAGTAAATAAAGATGACAACAGCCAGTAGCTGGGCAGAAGGGACATAGGTTGAGGTTTTGTGGGCTTGGGGAAGGAGGACCACGAGGAGAAGGAGAAAGGAGCTGATATGAAGTAGAAGAAAAATGTACAGGAGAGGAGAAAGGAAGCCACTATGGGATAAGGGTCAAGAGCCTGTGACTCTAGGGCTGCCCAATTAGAGTTAAGAATAGCCCCGATGGAACATAGTAAATAATAATTAATAACTCGGGGTTATCAATAGGAAAGTAGAGTCTAACAGCATGGGGGCTTGGCAGCTGCCCAGCTAATGTGCTGCATCAGGCTTATTAAAAACATAACGGCTGTGTGTGTTTTTTATCCAGGAACTCAATAACCAAAGGCGGGGTTGAAACCCTGGGCTAGGATTTTTAATATTTCTTACTACATACAGTAGAGAATTCTAAGACAGAGACCTGTTTAAAAATCTAGGATTCTGTCATACTCAGATCTTTTAACTACTCGAAGTACAGAAAATTAAGATCTTTAGCTCAAAATACAGACAAACATGAGTCTACATCTATGGTGGGATGGGAGGAATAGCACAGGACACTGCTGGGAATCGGTTATCACTTATAAGATAAGGAGCATCCATTATCTGCCCACAGTAGAGGATGACAAAGTCATCGCAGAAGAGATTCAGGACATATAAGAACCCTTCTCTTCCTCTTGCCATCCTGATCCTCCTGAGAACCACGCTTACCTGGGCAGCATCAATCTTCTTTGCAATACTCTGCTTTGAGTTCGTCATGGCTTCCAGCTTCCGAGCTGCATTTTCCACTTTCGCAGTAAGCACATCAAGCCCCTGAGACACTTGCTGGGCCTTCTGCATAGCCACTGGTGAGGCTCCTTGTCCTCTACTCAGAACAACAGACACAGTCATTACATCCTCTTAAATACTTAATAAAAATATTCATTTATGTGTCATTTTTATTAACATGTGTCTATTTCCCCAATAAGCTCAGACAGCACAAGAAAACAGAAAGAAAGGAAAACATCCAAACCACATACTTTTTCTTTTGCTTTGAAAAACAGTTTTATTTTGTTTTGTTTTTAAAGACCAGGGCTTATCTAACTGTAGCTGGCTCAGAACACCACATCTTGCAGCTTCTTTTCTCAAGTGCTAGAATTATAAACCTGCACGGCTGTGTCCAACTCACATTAGCTTCAAGGAACTATTTAACTACTTGGAAGCCAGGCCAGCAAATTTTGATGATAATTATTCTTGATTATATAACCAAATATAAACTTCAGTGGGAACAGTAAGATGGAGATCTTACTGTTATAGAGGACCTTGCTACTATAGTCATGTGTGTTTTAGAAATGAGTAGCCTGTTAGCTTGTCTTACTTATGGGGAATCATACATTGAAATTACTTGAGAACATAGTGTGTATACAGTATGAGCAAGGATTGAAACCTATTAGATCTATTTTTATAACGCTTGACTTTTGGCCCCTTTGGAATGTGTGTTCTAATGTTTAACATTCTTGGGCTTCAGAGTTTGTTTGGTTTAGGGGATTTGGTGGTGGTGGTTGTTGTTGCTGTTGTTGTTGTTGCTGTTGTTGTTTGGAGACAAAATCTGCCTATATAAAACTGGCTGGCATAGAACTCATTATTTGGACCAGGCTGGTTTCAAACTCTCAAATATCCACCTGTCTGTGCCTCCCAAGTACAGAAGTTAAAGGAGTGTGTCACCACACCTCACCACTTCTCTTTCTTATTTATAAAATTAAAGTGATATAAAGTGAAAGGTTGATAGCAATACAGCATTTGCCCTGTATTAGTTATTTATTATTTAACAGAGTGATTAAAAGTATCAAGAAAATATACTTGGAAATATGCTCTTAGTTCAGGATTAGACTGTTTGCCTAGACTGCATCAGAGTTTGATGGCCAGCACTGGGAAGAAAAAAAAAGAAACTGTAATGATAATATACAGGGCTGAAGTATGGTTCTCAGTTGTAGACAGCTTGCTTGAATTTGTGAGGTCCATAGTTCAGCCTCAGCCCAAAGGGGGTTGGGGGTGGGGAACAGAAAGGAAAGAAAAATATGGGAAAGAAAGAAAAAAGAAAATATACTTGAAAGTATGTTGAGAATACAAGTTTATAAATTACTAATATAACTAAACTACCATCACTGCTATGTTGAACCTAATGATAACCGTGACATGTATCACCCATTACCTGCAAGTGGCAATGCAGGCTAGTACTGAGAGATTAAAAGAGCACACTGGTTCCCATGAAGTCTTCAAAGATGCATGCATTTCCCTTGCTCAGAAACAGTATTCTGCTACTGCAAAAAAATGGTAGGACTTAGTAGACACTTGATTCCTTGAACAGACTTTCCAGGCCAGAAAGTAAGACTTGCCATCTTTTTACAAACTTTGATTATTTGTAGCCACCTAGGCTAATAAGTTTAATCACAGGTGTGACAGTTTCATCCTTTTACAGAATGGCATGATTGAATGAGTTTAGGATAAACTCCAAAACATCCTTGCTTCGCATAATAGTAAAATGAGTCTATTATTATCTATCTTAAAATTTTTTTTGAGATGGCATTTATTCTTATTTGATGTGTATAGGTATTTTGCCCATATGTATGTCCATGCACTATGTACATGCAGTGTCTGCAGAGGGCATCAAATCTTCTGGAACTAGAGCTACTGATAGTTGGAAGTTACCATATGGGTGCTAGGAACCGAACCCAGGTACTCTGGAAGAGCAGCCACCACTGAGTCCCATGTGTATTTTTTTCTGTGTGTATGTGTACACATACAGGTTTGTGTCCATGTGTATATGCCAGTGTCTGGGTGTTGTTTCTCAGCTGCCATCCTCCTTGTTTAATGAGACTGGGTCTCTTGGCAGTCTAGAACTTGCTGATTATACTAAGACTGGCTTGGCCTGGAATATGACTGTCTCTACCTCCTTGGACTAGAATTATAGATCCCAGAGTGTCATAAGATCTGACTTTTTAGCAGATTCTAAAGATCTTATTTGGCAACTACTTTACTGGCTGAACAATGTACCTAACCCTTTTGCCCTCTTTTTAAATCCATCCATACCAACACTGTAGGTAGTAAGATTCATAAACATACTGCCAGTTGCCTCATATATGAAATCTCCCTACAACCTAACAAGAAAATGGAATGAAGACTGAGGAAACACTAAGCATGGTTTAATTAATCATGAGGAATATTTCTGATATATGAATCTAACTGTGAAAAGGTAAAAATATATATGAGCTAAATTCAAACTAAAAAGTTTATTGAGGCCAGCGAGGCAGTGGTGGTGCACGACTTTGATCCTGCCACTCAGGAGGCAGAGGCGGATCTCTATGGGTTTGAGGCCAGTCTGGTCTACAAAGTGAGTTCCAGGACATCCAAGACTACACAGAGAAACCCTGTCTCAAAAAACCAAACTAAACAACAATAACAACAACAACAAAAAAAAAACAGAACAAAACAAAATAGAACAAAAAAATTTTTATTGAGTCTTACAGGGTTAAAAATGTATTCACAAAATCTAGACACTTGAATGAATACCAATGAAGAAGCATTACTGTGCTTTACCCATCAAAATGATAAAACAGCTAGCTGAGCACATTTAAAACAAACAAACAATGGGAAGACAGCTTTCTAATATTTTATCATGAAAGGATAATGCAGGCTCCAGTGTGAGGCAGGACCAGTTACTCATCCCTGTCCCAGCCTTTTCTCTTAACAGATTAATGGTCTCTCCCATACAACTACCTCATTCTTTTGCTTATATTCACAGCTGTGTTTTTGAGAATTCCAAGTGAAAATTGCCTGCCACACTGTGAAAGGGATGCAGAACCAAAGAGCCAACAATGAAAAATTAAAAGAGCCAAGAATCTTGTCAAACTGCATTGGCATTTTTCCAAATGGGAACAAAACTTTTTTGTCCCTTCTACAAAGTTCTTGCCATGCTTCCGGCAAGAAAGGATGCTCTTCAGTAGGAAACAAGGCTCAGTGAGGCCCATGAGACTGCATGAAGCTGTTCCCTCTCCCAGTGGGACACACACTCGGAAGGAAGGCCATGGGGCTTCTATTGGTAAAACACATCTACAACTCCACAAAACAATCCCTAATATTATAAAGGTACCTGCATTGTTTTAGGTAGAGATGAATGGCTTTATAAGAATTCAAAATTTCATGTGGTTCAAAAAAAGTACTTTTGTAATCTATAGTTAGCTTGGATACACACTTTGGATCACGTAGCATGCTGAGGTTTGTTTCTGTGCCCTGAAGTATATGGTATGCTGTGTACCCCAATGATCAAGGAGTTTCAGAACATTCTCAGAGCAAAAGCAAATCTCATCTACTCTAGGCACTTCAGCACAATTCAATCCTCTCAATGTCTATAAATATATTCATTAACTCCACAGATGAGTATTTTTTTAAAGATTTATTTATTTATTTTTTATATATGAGTCCACTGTAGCTGTCTTCAGACACACCAGAAGAGGGCATCGGATCCTATTGCAGATGGTTGTGAGCCACCATGTGGTTGCTGGGATTTGAACTCAGGACCTCTGGAAGAGCAGTCAGTGCTCTTAACCACTAAGCCATCTCTCCAGCCCAGATGAGTATTTTTTTAATCTACATTATATTGCGTCTTTTCAATAGCAAACTAAGTATACTTATTTAGGGGTAGGTGTTCTGAAAACAAAGATTTGAGAAGAGTAAAAGGAAAGTTAAAACAAATTATAAGGGCCTGTGAGATGGTTCAGAGTACAGATGTACACACAAGAATAATAATAAAATATTAACAATTTTAAAAATAAATGTTAACACAAAATGAAAAAAACAGTATCTCGTGGTAGTGGGTTGGGCCTAATGCTGCTTGTATTATAATGTTAATTTTGGTCCCCAAAACTGGTTACGGGAGTGTAACCTACACTGAGGGACCCTGCCCCCAGTTGGTTCTGATTGGTAAGTAAAGATGCCAGTGGCCAATGGCTAAGCAGAGTAGACAGAGGTGGGACTTTTAGGATTCCCAGGCTTGGGACAGAGAGGAAGGAGGAAGATGGAGATCCACCGTGCTGGGATAAGAAGAAGGAGAGGAGAGCCGCCATGCCTGTGAAGAGTGGAGGACAGGGAGGTATAAACAGCATGTGAGGGAGCTGGGAGAGTGTGGCCCAATTAGGGTCTGGGTCCAGCTCTGGGTCCAGCGCAGCCAAGGTAGAATATAGAATTTAGTAAGTAATAACTCAGGCTTATTGGCCGGTGGTGAATTAACCACATGGAGGTTAGAAAGTGGCCCAGCTGTTGCACTGTTTAAGGCAACAAAATATCAAAATATAAAGGCTGAATGTGTATCTTTCATTTAGGAGCATAAAACATTGGGGCAGGTGGCAGGAATGTGCCACCAGGATTTATATATATAAAAATATTGCTGTACATATACAGGCCTTCAATTCAATAGACATATAAGGATGACACTAAAATCTGGTCCTCCTGCCTCCACCTCCTGAGTTCCAGAGATTCAAGGCACCCTCTCCTTGCTGGTTAATGGGTTCCAGGAACTAAGCCCAGAGCTGTATATATATTAAGCATGAATTGTCTCAACTGGGCTACATTTCCAACCCTACTGGAGTTTTCTATCTACCCACCCTTCTTCATCCTTCTTTTATAAAAGATAACTAATTTGGTCAGAGTTCAACTCTGCCCCATATAGATCATAAAGACAAAAAACAATTATATAATATTTTCTAACTTTATTAGACTTCAAATATTTTAAAGCTCTATTATCAGCAAAAGACAGTTCAATAAAATTGGCGTGGACCTGCATCCTGCATCGCCTCATCAGGAGTCAGCTGTTCAGGACTGGTTTGAGAAAAGTGGAGGAACCTTACCTGGCTCGGAGGTCAGCAACTTGGTCAGTCATCTGCCCTAGCATTTTGCAGGTTCCTAGGATCTCCCTTCGTTCCTTGCCTGCACAAAGTTCACCAACTTTTCCAGCTTCATCTAAGATCTGCCTGATGGCCTGCTCACCAGCGTCCCCTAAAATAGTGAGATAGTCAATATCTACACTGTGGGCACATGAATTATCCAGAGAGAGCGCTTCACAAGTCATTCCATTCATGAAGGAATACATGACCTGACAGCTACAGCCACACACTGCCTCACAATCATCAGGTGAGGTTTAACCACAGGCCCAGAGAAGCAAGATATGTTGCACCATATCTGCTTGGAGATATGAAGTGGCTTTGCCATATGTACGTGAACAATGAAAAATAGTCTCATAATTGAACAGGACTTAGGACCGCCAACTTCCATTAGGCTTTTCACATTTGTTCAAACAATCTAAAGTGGAATAAATATTAAATTAGAAAAGCCATAAAGCCAAAGACCTTGTTGGGTCTTACCTTTATATATTCAACTTTACATCTTACATTCTTTTTTTTTTTCTTTTTTCTTTTCGAGACAGGGTTTCTCTGTGTGGCCCTGGCTGTCCTGGAACTCACTTTGTAGACCAGGCTGGCCTCGAACTCAGAAATCTGCCTGCCTCTGCCTCCCAAGTGCTGGGATCGAAGGCGTGCGCCATCACTGCCCAGCTACATCTTACATTCTTAATATCACTATACAATCTATTTAATTAGATACTTTGCTGACATAAATGGTAGTATGCCCAACTGGAACTAGCAAAAGAGGGTGTTTATTCAGAATAATAACCTTTCTGAATCAGGGAATGGGTGAAGCAGTAACTTTACAAAGAACATCAGCTTAGCTCAGTTTATTTATTCACAGTGAGAGATGAGAGATAAGTTCTGGGCCTTCACCTTTAAGACCTGGGATGTTTCAATTTCTCAGAACTATGGTAGGATGCTAGTCACCTCAGGATGGTGAGATTATGGAAGCATTCCCTCCATTCCTTCATTTGCTGGTATTTTAACTGTTTATTGTTCAGAAAATAACTGGAGAGTTACCTGGGGAGGCATTGGGGTCACGGAGCCAACCTTTGGCCTGGTTCAGTTTGGAGTCTATGGACGCCAGCGCTCTCTTCATGGCTTCAGTGTCCTTTGGAAGAGAAATGCCACAGTTCTTGTGTTTTGTATCATGGTCTCTCCATTTTTACAGAGAAGCAGTTATAGCACTAACACACAACAGCTCAGGTAGTCCTACAACAGCTTTAAATAATCTCACCACACCACAAGTCTTGTGTCTGTCAAAATGCAACATCTTGCATGCAAATCTTCAGTTAATTCTATTCTGCCTCCTGGTGTCTCCATTGCTAAAACTGCAAAAGCTTTAAAAAACTGCTCAAGCCAAAAAAAAAAAAAAAAAAAAAAGTCTAATGTCTTCAGCAGGAAGAAGTCCTGCTGCCTCATTCTTCATTATCAGCCTTCCCGCTGGTCAACATCCACTGAGAAACCTTGTAGAGCCTCAACACCAAGTGGAAGCCTTGCCGGAGCCCTCCCTGCTTTAGGCAAGCCTTACTAGTATGTGGGGCCACAAAGCACAGTCCTTTTATCTCTTATTTTGAAATGCACACACACACAAACACTGGATGGTATTTCATTATGTTTAATAAATCAAAAAACTCGGAGTTACTCATTGGAAAAAAATAAACAGTATTTATGTAACCATTTTGTTTTAGTCCTCAAAATAAACCACTAAAAGTTTTACAAGAAGAAAGCACGCTGCTGGCCTTCCCTGCTGCTCCTCCTTCTCGTCCTTAGATCCCTCGCCAGCCTAGTAAATGATGTCAGTATACTGCACATAACCAGTGCTCACGACGATGGGCAGAAAACTAACGTGGAACCTACTAGAATGTCACTAGAAAACAATCAACTAAGAGAAAAAATTGAGACAAGGTCTCTTTACATAGCTCTGGCAGGACAAAACTTGCTGTGTCAACCAGGCTGGCCTTGTTGACATAAAAATTTTCTGATTAAGTATGTGCGATGACTCCTAGCTTAATTTATAATACAGAAAAAAAAAACCCAAATAACAATGAAACAAATATCCATGTGCCAATCTTTAGAAGTGGGAGATTGTACAGCTTCTCTCTCTCTCTCTCTCTCTCTCTCTCTGTGTGTCACTGTTTCCTCACCTCCCACTTTCTGAACCTCCACCCAGTTCTCCTCATTTTCCCACCTCCAAGGGTATAACTCTGTAGCCCTACTTCCCTGGTCTGCCTGCCTCTGCTGCTGCCTCCCAACTTCTGGGATAAAGGGTATGTACTACATCTGGCCCTAGACTGGCCCTCTCTATTTAACATCTTAAAAAACAGTCTATCTTCTTTTTTTCACCAGAGGACTGACTCTCAGAGAGTCAACCCATCAAAACATAATGCTAACCTCTAAAATTCTACGCAGGCCTTTATCCCTAAACTTTCTTCAGTTCCCAGTCCTACAGGGGTTGTGCCATCAAGCTTCCACAAGGGGGCACTGAGCACATCCCTACTTCCAAGTCAGAGTCATCACTATAACACTAAAAGAACAGGCAACGTTCACCAGGCTGAAAACTTAGCAGCAGCTGAACCCTAATGCTTCCGAAATATCTACTCAAATGATGGACTCTCTGCTTTAGGATTCCCTTTTCTCTCATCTAAAAAGATAGTGTGCTCTCATCCTAACTTTATTCTCAACCACAGCAACAGAAAAGTGAACTATGCTACTGGGTGGTGGGGTGGGGTGAAAAGTTACCAAGTTATATGAATTACGATAGCTACCACTGTTAGGCAGTATCAGGAAAACCTAGTCCAAAATCCACTCATAATTGCACTTGATAATAGTGCTTAAATCTGTTGTTTCTTTCCTCCGCTGTGTTACTTTGTTGTACAATAATTTATACAAAAAAATTTGCCCCCAGAGTTGAATTCCAAATGAGAAAGGTCTAAATGGATATCTTTTTAAGACTCTCAGGTAACTCCTAACCTCAAAAAACTGGATAGCTTTCAGTATTTACCTACTGTAAGTTATAAGATTTCACAATTTGTCTAAATGTATATTTGTTTATAACATAAGCTTTTTCTTGAGAAATATGTGCCTACCTTGGAAAAGAGAAATTGTGTCAGTGTAAAATGTAAAATTCTGTTAATAAACATCCCTGTAATACTATTATTTCTGGTGAGAAAGCTAATAGACACTAACATTTCAAAATCTAAATTCCAAAGAACAGAACATAGTATCAGAAAGTCAGACATATTTTAGCACTAATCTAGCAGTAATGGTTACTAGTTAGGAAGGTAATCAATTTCCTACACGGTACATAATGCCTTAGCCACTTTCCCCTTCAATTACTTTATTGAATCTCAAGTTGAAATGTAATTTTGTCTTACAAATTAAGAAACAAGGACTTAGGACCATTTGACCTTAAGCTTGCTGAATCCAACCTCTTATTTTATATCACATGAAACTCAATTTCTTTTTCTTTTTTTCCCCAAGAAAGTTGCCAAACTTTCGACACCAGTCAGCAGATCTCCACCTTGTTAGTATGGGCTCTGGCTAACACTTCACTAAAGAGAAGCTCCAGAACTCAAACTTACAGTCTGTGCTAACATAAACGACTGCTTTTATTCTCCAACGTTCCTAAATGGTCTGAAACACAATGCAAAAACAAGCTTTGCTCTAATCAGCATCCTCAAAAATCATTTCTTTTTTCTCTAGTAAACTCAACAGCCCCTTCACGATGAAGAAAGACTGTGATTCTCAGGAAGAGGACAATTTTCTTCTGAGTAGCTCTGACAACACCAGGAAATTAAAATTAGCAGATGCTTGTTTCCCCTACACTGAGCCAGGGGCAAATATGGAAGGAAGCTGCAATTTTTTTTAATGTATTTGGATGTTTTCCCTGCACATATGTTTATGCACTGTGTGCGTGTCTGGTGCCTATGGAGACCAGAAGAGGGCATCAGATCTCCTGGTATTGGAGTTACAAACAGTGCTGAGCTGCCATGTGGGTGCTGGGAATTGAACAGGGGTCTTCAGGAAGAGTAGACAATGTTCTGAACCACTAGGCTATCCCTCCAGTCCTGAAGCTGCATTTAAAAACCTGGGAATTGCAGTTAGTTTCTAGGTTGGTTTTGTTTGCTGCTGCTGCTGCTGCTGCTGCTGCTGCTGCTGCTGTTATATTCTTCCATATTATTACTTGTGTATGTGAGTGAATGACAATGTACTACAGCATACGTGTGAAGGTCAGAGGACAGTTCACTGGAGTCAATGCTCTCTGACAATGTGGGTTCCAGGGATCAAACTTAAATCACCAGACCAGCAGACACGTGCATTCATCCTCTGAGTCATTCTATCCCTCTGTTTTTAAAACATGTGATTTACACAGTTATAAAAATTTATAACAGTTACTTAAAAGACCTTAAATTCTTTTTTGAGCAGAGCTGCTAATAATCACTTAAACACATTACAGTTTAGTCACTGCTATTAAAAACAAATGTATTTATAGACACATACTTTTTGTCTCCAAAGAATCTCACATATATTTTTAAAGGGCATCCTGTCTTGAGCAATGAAAATGCACTAGCAGCAGAAACAATATAAACAGATTCCACAAGCACTAAGACTAGAAGTCAGTTTGAAGAAATACGTGCATGTGTGTGTATGTGTGTGTGTGTGTGTGTGTGTGTATGTATGTGTATGGTAAAAATAATTACAATCTGTAGTCAGCCATACTGTGTCCCACAAAGCATTTTGTTAAGCCCTGTCATATAAGTATTTGGAAAAGGAAAGAAAATACTGTACTTTTAACTTCTCCATAAAAATTCAAATTTGGGAAAAGAAAAAAGTCAACATTAATTTCCACTGTGGTCTTTATTGTTGTACTTTGGGGTATTTATTTTGTTTCTGTTTTACTGATATAATGTCTATCAAGTAGCCCAGACTGGACTGGAACTCACTATGTAGACCAGGCTGGCCTTAAACTTAAGATCCTCCTACCTTTGTTTCCTGAGTGCTTGGAATTACAATTATTTGCCACCATGCCAGGCCCCAAATTGTTTTTAGTGTGTGGTGTGTGTGTGTGTGTGTGTGTGTGTGTGTGTGTGTGTTGCTCAAGATCAAAACTTCAGTGTTCTAGCAATCTCTACCATATACTAAAGGTGGAAGGACATCCAAAACAAAAACAAAGAACATTTTGGCAAACAAAGAATTGACAGACTTTTAAAATTTAATACACATTCAGGCCTCAAGAATACCTGTGAGATTACTGAGATTCTCCCTGAAGGCAATCAAGAGTAATCACAATTAGAAAAGTGGAGTTCAGTACTCTAGAGGCAGAAGCAGGAGGATTTCTATAAGTTCTAAGCCCACCTGGTCTACATAGAAAGTTCCAGGACAACCAGCCAGGACTCTGTCGATAATAATAATAATAATTTGGAAAGAAAAGCAGAGTCCTACAAAGCTAGTACTTTTGAAATTAAGAAGTTTAACTATGGAAACTCTTGCCTAGCCCTCTTCTCTTTCTTCTACTAACACTTTATCTCCCCGTTCCTCCTCATTTCTGATTCCATTTCTATAAGCACCACTCCAATGTTTTGAACAAAGATGTTTCAGGAAAGAACTGACCAATGAGAAAGTTGCCTAGTCCTATGATTTTAGAAAGTTAGTTGCCTTCTCTATCCTTGGTTTCTCTTCTCTGATAAAAAGCTTCACAATTCTAAATACCTCTGCAAGTTATGAGCACACTCACAGATGGACCAGCTAAAGATAACCTAGATCAGATGGGAAACACAAATTCCTTTAGCAATAGAGGATTTCCTCCTTGAGAGGTAAACATCACAAATGCCTGAGTTAACTACTTAGCCAAATTCCTATAGATAAATGTCTTATTTATTGACAACTAAAACAAAACTTGGGAACACTCAAAAACATAATAAGCTTATATACAACCTGATCTTTTTTAAAGTAATCAAAATTAAATTCAACCCTTAAATCCCAATGGTCTGCAGTAAGGATGTCACAGGACAGCACAACCTAACAGTATTCCCTTCCGAGCAATAATCTCATATGAGAGGCGTCCTAGTCAGTCACTACTGTCGATCACCAGCCTAGACCCCAGCAGGAGACTCATCACAATAACCAACTGTGAGTCCAGTGTCTGATGGCTCAACATGAAAAGCTACCTCTGAAAGGCTCAAAACAACCTGAGCAATAAAATGCTTTTGTCTCTCATCTCCCAACATGTATAAGATACAAGTAATACAAATAATTTTTAAAAGACTTAAGTTCAGAGTTCTAGATTTGCAGAGAAAAGTAAGAGTTGTATTTAACTCAAGTTCTTTTGGTTCATGATGTTGTCCCAGGAAAAAAAAATGCTGGCTTCTCTTTAATGATCACTGTAAGTGGCTCTTGATTTAAGGGATAGTTTTTAACTTTCAATAGAAATGAATACGTAAAGTTATTATTAAATGCGTGAATCTGTGAGTTGGATGTAGGTGTAACAGGTACACTATTCAGCTATGCATTGCCTCGTCAAAATCTGAACTTATTCAGAAGACGTATTTTTACCAAGAATTTGTTCCACTTACTTTCTTCCCCACTTTTCTAGAGGAACCTTCACTTTCCAGAAGAATACTGCACCAATGGGGAAGCATGAAACAAGTATGGGAAGACAAAGTTAATTACTTATTGTTAGGGACAGGAGGTGGTGAAAGACTGCATTGAACAGAATGGGAACCTGGTGGAAACAGACAGACCCCAGATCTGACTACTGTTTACAGTTCGGAAAAGAAAGATTTGGAATCCTACTTAAAAAATAAAATAAAATAAAATAAAATAAAAAGTCTTTTTTAATTTTTTTTAAAGCAATACTCTAGCTATTACTGTCCATTTTCAGGGTAAAATTTATTTTTCTAAATATTCTTATAACTACTAAAAGAGTTTACACATAGGGTAAAATAGGGTTAACTGTGAAGTCAGCAGGGCTGGGAGTGGCTCATCATGTTTATCTTTTTATACTATTTTGATTTTTGAACCAAGTAAGTGTATAACAAAAGCAGACAGATTAATAAGTTCCTCGTGTTCATTCAAATGCTATGTATTTGAGCTTTTGGCTGAGGAGACTTAATTTATTCTCACTCTTGAGGAAGTTAGTTTTGCTTTATCCTAATTAGCCAGCTTCTTCCAGGGCAAATGACTATGGGATAGCTACAAGACAGCGGTCTATTTCCCTTGTCCATCCTGCCCAAGTCCATGATCCTATTACTGAAAAGCAACTAAACTCATCTGGGTTTTGCTTGTTTATTCTTTAAGAAGCATTTCTTGATGGCAGTTGCACAAAATAAACTCAGTAACGTGTGTTCACTTTAAACTGAGAGATTACTTTTTCCTCCAAAACAGAGAAAGGTTACAATTAAATGCCTGATCTTCCTTACTAGTTTCTCATCCACTAGAAGCAAAGGAAAGTGATTTGGTTAGGGGAACATGAAATCACTGAATTATGGCTACTCACAGCTTAGGCAACAGAACATGCAGAAAGCCATCAACTCAAGGTAAGGGGAAAAAAACACTATGGTTTACTTCCTGTCCTCTTGGGCTTTGGTAGTGGAAGCAGGATAGCTCTCTAGCCCACCCATTTTTGTTGTGGGCAAAACCTTCAACAATACATCTCCAAAAGAAAAATGTCAAGGCTCACAGAGATGGCTGTTAGGAGAAGCACAGAGACACATCACCTCAAATCTTCTTTCCCAAGAGCTGGTTCTACAAGTAACTGGCCCAGCTACCTAGGAAAATGTGCCCTTCTAATAAGGCCACTGGGGACAAATGGGCAAAAAAAATGTTCTTAGGGGTCCTGCTCAAAGAGACAAAAGCACCAACCCAATATAGAAAGCCTGATGTGCCATAGCAATCTGTTCTATCTTGTCCCACCCACCCAAAAACACCAACTCAATAAGACACAAAGTCAGTCTGCCCAACACAGCCCAGATTTCCACATTCAGTCAGATTCTGACACATATCCGAGCACAGTGTTACACACCGGCACACGAAATAAGGCATGGCACACGGCACGAGAAAGCCTCACAGACATGCTTTTTCTCTTTTTAAGCAAAAAAAGGAACTAAAGGGCAAGAGAAAGCTTACCTTCTAAGCTCGAGAAAAAGAATAAAACAAACAAGAGAACAACAACAAAAAGAAGATGCACAAAGAAGTCATTGGGAAGTAAAGTTATCACCCAAAAGCAAAATCAAATATCAAGAACTTAAGATGATTTTATCATAAAAACTTCAAATATAATTTTACAACCCATTGGATAACATACTACCAATGAGGAAATACCTCTGTAAATGAATCTATACTATACTTAAAAGTAGACTAATTATATCCAGTTAAATTAGCTTTCTGAACAGCAGGGGGACTGGTGATATTAGGCCCCATATTTGACCTTACCTTCTCTGAGGTCCTGAAGTAAAGGAAAAGCAGCCCTAATGAGCACCCAACGAAGTCAATTGTAAAGTCATTGTTTAACAACCAGCTGGGTGACCTTGATGATAGCATTTTGGTCATACATGGGAAAGCTAGACCCTGGAGTCAGGGCATTTCCCATGACTGCCTATATCCTGCACTTCTCTAAGGCAAGTATAAACCAAAATGTCTTGGCTTCCCCAGACCTGGAAGCTTTGCCGTTGCATAGGAATAAGTAGACCAGAGCGGCAACAACTCCAAACCACTACCAATAGACTCTAAAAGGAATCCTCATTAACTGACTCCCTTTGCAATGTGAGGTTCTAGAGAAGGCAAAGGGTGGTAAACTAACTGACGAATAAGAAGACCAATATTTTAATTATAGTTTCCTTAGAAAAAAACAGAAATCAAGTAACATATCTAAAAATTCTAGAGTTTCTTCTGTTCACTCCTCTTAATCAAAGGTTGGCTTAGGGTAAGCCTTGCATAAAGTACATAATTATAGGCATGTTTGCTGTCTTTCTTAAGTTACCTGGCAACAATCACCCACGTAAAAAGCAAGGAGCCCACCCAGGGAAGTATAATACCAAGTCCTCTACCAGCCCAACCAATGAGAATTAAGCCTGAAGGCAGGCTACACACCCAAGCCCTCTACCAGTACTCATCCTATACACCCATTCGGTCCACCCTGAAACAGAGGAAATGTGTAATGGTGACAGGCAATTGATCAAAGAAGTGAGCAAGAAATTATGCCCATAATATCTATGTATTTTTACAAAATAATACTCAAGACAGATAATAATCAAAATCTCCCAAGAGATCAGAATTTGATATTTTTCATGATTTCTCCTCTAGTAAGACTTACCTTGCTGGCCCAGGCATCTTCATCCCAGGATGTGAGTTGTAATACACGAATGATCTCGTTAATTTCAGCACTCATCTTTTCTACAGTAAAATTTCGATTTTTCAAAGCTTCTTCTATTCCTTGGTTTTTTGAGTTTTTGGTTGTAACAAAAATCTTCATAGCTACAAAAATAAAAAAAATGATCATAATTTGATCTTTTAAAAATTGATGTGGAGGTCAGAGGCAGGAGGTGGGGGTCATTTCTCTTCTTTGACCATCTGGGTAGGTCCCAAGGCAGTATGGATCATTTAATCTTGTTGCTTAATACTATTCACATATGATGTTCTATACTTTCAACATAAATTTTGGTCTTCTAATGTCTTAAGAAGAATATATAAAACAATCCCAGCAAATATGATAATAAAGTTCCAGTATCAGCAACTTTCATTGTAAAGCAAATTGAAAATACAAAGGGAGCACCACAGGTCATTAGGGAACTAGTTTAACACATACAGATGATCTACAATCACAAAGTGCTTAACATCCTTCTTATCAGCAGCATCATGAGTACAGCATGGCCTCTAGCCACGGCAAACCTAACAGGACAGATACAAAACACCGATAAAAGTGTGAGTAGCCTGCTTCCCCAACACTATGGTAGGCCCCAAAGACATCGGTATGTCTTCCAGAAATTCTCAGTGGACACCAGTGACTTCTCTTTCTTCTTCCCTTCCTCCCTTTCTCTCTTTCTTTCTCTCTCTCTTTCTTTCTTGTTTTTAGGATTGATTGTTTTTTTTGTTTTTTTTGTTTTTTAAAGCAGGGAACTGTGGCACACACCTTTAATCTCAACATTCAGGAGACAGATTTCTGTGAGTTCGATGCCATCCTGGTCTACAAAGTAAGTTCCAGAACATCTAGAGCTACATAAAAGAGACCATGCATCAAAAAACAATCCTTCCTGCCCCTCACAAAAAAAAGAAAAAAGAAAAGAAAAAATTTAATTAAAAAAAATTTTTTGTATTTATGTGTATGTATGTGTGATTGTGTGACAAGTATGTACAGATGCCCCTAGAGACCAGAAGAGGGTACTGGGGCCTGGATCTGAAGGTACTGGGGCATGCCAATAACACACTTCATAGAAATTTAAATAGAGTCATCTTCTGAGACTTAAACTAAATAAAACACAACCTGACTAAGATAAATGCATAAACAATGAGGTACTGATATACTGACACTCAGTAAGCACAAATTCCTTTTGTCCGTTAAAGCAGAAAGAGAGAAAGAACATTCAAGATGGTGTCTATAGGGTAACATTTAACACTCAACCAAACCTCATGCACCAGAGCAGCAAAGGAGAACGGCCTTCTAAGCCAGAACTCCTAACTTCCCCTGCCCTATAAATAAAGCAGGAAGTACCTGAAATGAGAACAGGAAGCAGCTCTTTGACAGTGTTCATTGAGTTTACCAGCATCACTCGGTGTTCCTGGTGAGTCAACTCCTGCTGTCTTTCATCAATCATTTTGGCCATCTTAGTCATTCCTGGGTAACAAAGAAGCAATTATGCAGGATGAGTGTGAACAAACCCAAGTCTGGACTTCTCAGCCTAAATCCATTGTGAATTACTGCAAATATCCTAACCTACTGTCTATCTAAAGACAAACATTGTTAACAAACTAGCATTTGTGCAATGTTATAGTTTTCAGTGACAGTAATTTATTAAAGGAAAGTCCTAAATATAATCATTTTCATATTGCATACATACAGACTTCATAAAGCATATCTGACTATTGTGCTGTGTTATGCAGAATCTCAGGGAAAGCATTCTAAGAACAACAGTGGGTTGGGCTGGGGTTTTTTTGGTTTTGTTTGTTTGTTTGTCTGTTTGACATTCATTTCTTTTGTAGACTGGGAGAACAGACATGTGACAAGGTACAGCTATGGATAAGGGTTAGAGGATAGCTTGCAGGAGTTGCTTCTCTCCTTCTACCATGTTGGTTCTGGGAATGGAACTCAGGCAGACTTAGCAGAAAGAATCTCTCTCTACCTAGTGAGCCTTTACCTTGGTAATATGTTTTTGAATTTTCAAGTTGATCCAAAATAATATTAAAATTAGAATCAAAACAGAAATATTAGAAAAAGTACAGCTTTTTAGGCATCTGCTGTTTTGGAATCAATCTGTTAGCACTTTGTTTACTTTGGTTATTATTCAAAAGTGCTATGTAACTTTTGAATTGCATTCATTTATTGACAGATTATGTGTAATGTGAGGACATAGATGTGTGCCACAGTGTACATGTAGAGGTCAGTGGACAACTTAAGGGTCAGTTCTCTCCTTCCGTGTGGCTCCTGGGATCGAACTCAGGTCAGCAGACTTGGATTCAAGTGCTGTTATCATCTCATTGGCTAGCTATATGATTTTTATTTTAAGCTTTGATTTTCAAATTACCTCTAGGATTTCGTAAGTAGTTTTATAGACCATCAAGACCAAGGAGAGGCAGAAAGGTGGGCTGCTTCTGCTTCACCCAGAGTATCTTTAGTCTTATTAGACTTTGCATAAAGGTACATGAAGAAAACATAGACCTTTTTTCCAGTGTTAGGAGAATACAGGTCTTAGCTAGGCGTATGTATACCACTTGCCTACCACGCACTAAGCCTGGGTTAATCTCCAACACTCCCAAACATATCCCAGCACACCTTTATACATCCTCTGGCCATCCCTCGGCCATTCCCCAGCACATCTCCACAGCCATGAGAAAAGGCCATTTCCAGGTGACCTTCAACTCAGAAAATGGGTAAGTTCAAGGAACAACTACACTGGACCCTCGGAAAGACATTGTTAAATAAACATCAACATTTCAATTAAAATATAATCCACAGGGCAATAAACATCAAGCTAAACACCTATTAAGCCTTTTCATTAACCTTATTCATACTTTATGGACTCTTGAGGACATGTTATATCTATAAGATCAAATGCTGGCATCTGTGTATTTTGAATACTCAATACTCAGATACCTAAATAATCATTTCAAAATGATTAACTACAACCACTCCTCTCTCCTTTGAGGCCTGATCGTATCTCTGCAGCCTTGGGCTATGGCATAAGTCCATAATAGTAGGCAGCTAATTAGCAAGCTAAGAAATCATGAAGAGCTAGCGGCCAGCTGGCAGACAGTGAAGGAATGCTGTGTACTGTGGAATGGGAGGTCAGGATTGAGGGTGGCCTTCGGCATTACAGCAGTAGAAAAGTATTTCCTTCATTTCCCTCATCAACATTCACAAATCTGGTTTAGTGTTTTTGACAGAGCTGGGATTTGTAGAAAGTAGATAACAGACTTCAGAGACAGAAACATATCGTCAGCAGAAGCCATCGCCAACACCATCCCGTTTTCTGCAAATAAGGAAAGAGTATCCTTTCCTCATCAACCAACACGGACAATTCATATGACTTCTAATATAAAATTTGGGTTTCGCTCACCTGGCCCAAGATTCTTTGTGTAAGTGACCAAGTCTTCCATAGTCTCCACTACCTCTGCCACTGTAAGATATTCCAAAATTCCTTTGCAAACTCTAATAATTTTACGAACCTGAAAAATATATTTAAGGACTCAATCAAAGTAGTGAATAATACATAGAAAATGGCACTAGAGATATGAAGCTTTTTAATATATTAGCATTCTAAAACAACCATCCAGTATTGCATTGCACAACCTTTTTTTTTTTTTTGAGAATTTTTTATTTGTTTACTTTTTTGTTTAGTTACTTTCTTTCTTCCTTCCTTTCTTTTTTTCTTTCTTTCTTATTTTGGTTTTTGGATATAGGGTTTCTCTGTGTAGCCCTGGCTGTCCTGGAACTCACTTTGTAGATCAGGCTGGCCTCAAAGTCATTGAGACTCTCCTTCCTCCACCTCCTGAGTGCTGGGATTAAAGGTGTGTGCCACCATGTCTAGCTCCTATTATAACCTTTAAAATTACACTTTAGGGGCTGGAGAGATGACTCAGAGGTCAAGAACTCATGATGTACTTCCAGAGGACCCCAGTTTGGTTCTTGGCACCCATGTCAGGTGGCTCACAACGCGCACACACACACACCACACATAAATAAATCTAAAACTAGACTTTTGTCTATGGGAGGAATTTGGGGACCTCAGATTGCCTACCTCAGCCTCATCAAAGGTAAGCAGTAGGTCAGACGTGCCAGACAGGATTCCCCTAGAGCCGTCAATGAGGTAATCCCGTGCAGGAACTGAGTATGGGTCTGACTGAAGCATCTGGGCTGCCTGAACAAGCTTGGTGCAAGCATTTTCAACCCTAGGGGGAAGAATATGGGTTAGCTCCTTAATGAAAGCAAACAGAAGACCATGATATGCAAACACAAAAGAATAGATACATGAGAATTTATTTTTCTGTACGGTAGATAGCCAAGGTCAATTTATAACAGGACTTGGCCTTTGAAATCTCAAAATTTGCAGCTAATGGCAGCAACTTGTTCTTTGTTATTTCTTGGCAATAAAACAAGAGCACCTTTGGCACCTTTGCTTTATGTGGCTGCATCTCTGTAACTCTTTTGTTGGAATTCTTTTGTTTCCTTACTCCTCGCCATTCTGCAACTGACATTACATAAAGAACTGAAAAACACCTATAGTACCGTCACACTTAACATCTAGAAATAAGCCCCAAAGTATTATGCAGTGATTTTTTTTTTTTTTTTACTTTTTATTTTTATTTTTTGAGACAGAGTCTCACTCTATGACCTCAGGTGGTAGCGTGGAGATCACTATGTAGACAAGATTCACTTTGAAATCAAAGCTCCATCTGCCTCCGCCTTTAAATGCTAGGCTTTATATAATCAGACAATACAAAGGAATAGGGGTAAAAGGAGAAAGAATAAAATAATATGCTTATTTTATATTCATCTTGCTAAGTGGATTTGGGTCAAGCAATTCTATAAAACTATGTTGTTAGTTAAAAAATCAATGGCATTAATAACTGAACCAATAATTAGCAGTTTACTACCAATACAGTTTAATGTAGACCACCAAGTCAGCCACAGATTTGGTGGTGGAGGCGGGGCGGAGAATTCATTTGACAGAGGGACTCAAAATGCATAAAGCAAGTATATTCGTTGACCCTACTTACTAAAACGTAGTCATTCATTCAATTACTCATTCATAAAAAGAGTGAATGCATTATCTCCTCTAATCTCATTTCAACAGACCCACTGTTTTCATTGAGTAACTTAAAGAGATAAGAAACAAATTATTTAAAAACAAAATAATTTGCCAACATTACACATTCTCATTTGAAAAAAAAAGCCCTACTCATAGCATTCTTTTGTGGCTCAAATGAAACAATACAAAAATTCCCACAAGTATAAAGAAGTGTTACTGCTAACAGGAAGAATTAAACCAATATGAAAATTTCAACATACAAAAGAACTAGGTGCCAGGCAGTGGTGGCAGCACTTGGGAGGCAGAGGCAGGAGGATTTCTAAGTTCGAGGCCAGCCTGGTCTACAGAGTGAGTTCCAGGACAGCCAGGACTGCACAGAGAAACCCTGTCTCAAAAAACCAAAAACCAAAACTGAAAAGAAAAAAAAAAAAAGAACTAGGCTATGAAAGATGTAAAAAATATTATGATTCCAAAAACACACTTTACTAAACTAAAACATAAACACTGGTACCACAAAACATTACCTAATAATTCTAGTGAAAAACAAAGACCTACTATGCATGCCTGCCCTACTTTAATCCCTCTACCCACCCATCTACCACCCTATCCCCAGATTTTCTACTCTTTTCTATCTTTCTTTCTTTTTTATCTTTCCTTCTGGGGGAAGGAGAGAGGTTTGTTTTTTGTTCTTTGGTTTTTTTTGTTGTTGTTGTTTTTTTCAAGACAAGGTTTCTCTGTGTAGTCCCGGCTGTCCTGGAACTTAGACCAGACTGGCCTCGAACTCAGAAATCTGCCTGCCTCTGCCTCCCAAGTGCTGGGATTAAAGGCATGTGCCACCACCGCCCGGCGAGAGGTTTGTTTTATTTTGCACTTTATGTATATGAGTTCACTGTAGCTAGCTGTCTTCAGACACACCAGACGAGAGCATCGGATCCCATTACAGATGGTTGTGAGCCACCATGTGGTTGCTGGGAGCTAAACTCAGGACTACTGGAAGAGCAGTCAGTGCTCTTAACTGATGAGCCATCTCTCCAGCCCTCTACTCTTTTCTTTTAAGACAGGATCTCACTATGTACTTCAGGCTAACCTTGAACTCACTGTAGCCCTGGTTGGTTTTGAACTTGTGCTCCTCCAGCCTCCAACTTCCAAGCAGTGTTAGGATTATAGGCACACACCACCAAAAATGATTTGATGTGGCTGTTGATAAGTCTTAATAACCTGATGCCTGGACCTGGAGAGATGGCTCAGTAGTTAAGAGCACTTGTTAATACTGAAGAAGACAGAGGTTCAGTTCCCAGCACCCACATCAGGTAATTCACAACTGCCTATAATTTCCTTCCAAGGGATTACACACCCTCTTCTGATCTTCAAGAGCACAGGAACACACATACATGCAGGTAAAATATACACATCTAAAAATAATTTTAAAGATGCATAAAGAACTACTTCATTCTTTTATACAGGCTATATGATAATTCACAATGTATTAGCCTACTACAATGATCTACCTTGAAAGCTCATTATGAGTGTATCTACTAGATGCTCAATCAAAGAGGTGGGCGCTGTAATTTTAATATGTAGCCATAGTGTCATCCGCAAAAGTCATATGAACTCATTTTCACCACAATGGATGAGAGGACAGAAACAGTATTTACATTCTCAATAATAGAAAAATGTATGTAAAAGATAAAATTAAAATAAATTAAAACTTTAAAATTTAAAGAGAAAGAAGCAAAAAACTACACTAAGGAAATCACAGTAAAGTTACTTAAAACCCATAATAACACTTTGTTCCAAGACAGAGGAGGGAGACTGTGTAGCCTTAGCTGTCCTGGTACTCATTCTGTAGACCAAGCTAGCCTCAAACAAATAATGATCCTCCTGCCTCTGTCTCCTGAGTGCTGGTATTAAAGGCATATGCCACCACTGAGGGACTGAGGTGATGACTCAGTAGAGCGCTTGCCATTCAAGCATGCATGAGGACCTGAGTTCAGATGCCTATAGCCAGGCACAGTGGTATATCTTTAAACGCAGCACTAGGGAAGCAGACATAGGGCCCCTGGATTCCACTGGCCAACCAACCTAATAAAATCAGTAAACTCCAGGCTGAGGAAAAGATCCTTTCCAAAAAACAAACAAACAAACAAAAACTTGCTGGATGTGGTAGCACACACCTTTAATCCCAGCCCGGTCTACTTGGCAAGTCCCAGATCAGCCAAAGATATATACTAAGACCCTGTCTCAAAGTTAAGCAATTAATTAACTAGTTGGTTAAGGTCATGGGCTGATGAGATGGCTTAATAAGGCCCTTAATACCAAACTAAGACCCACTTGGTGGAAGTCAAAAACCAACTCTCCAAAGCTGTCCTCTGATCTCCACATTCCTACCCACAAAAATGAGTAAACTGTTTGAAATAAAGTATTTAAAAGAAAACTCAATTACACTAAAAAGAATGATTTCAAAAGCACTGTAGGAATAGTCAATTGATCATTGAAGACCACCAGTCAAAGATTGCTTACATGTCCCTTTCTGATACCTCAGGTGCTGTTTCTCACCTTCCTTTACTAGATTGGCATCCCCTTCTTGTGCTGCTTTAAATGTCTCTTCCTTCAGGGAATCGTACTAGTCTCCCAAATCTATAGGGGTCTTGTGTTCCCACAGAATTTCATCCTTTCTCAGTTTTCTCTCATAACACTGTAAATTCAGCATGGCAACGTAAACATCTCATTCAAATTAACAATTAATGTACTCACAGAACATAACACCCAACAAATAAAAATTGCTCAGTAACTCTTTGATGAATACATTTTACTACATGAAGGAAACATAAAATCATCTCAGCAGAGAAAATCATCATACTTATTTGTTTTGCATTTTTTTGAGACAGAGCTTTCCCATGTAGTCCAAGCTATCTTTGGACTTGTAGTGTAGGTTGGCCTGGAATTCCTGATTCTTTGGTCTCAGTCTCCCCTGTGAAGGGATTGTGGGCATGCATCACCATGTCTAGCAGAAAATCATTAAAAAGTCCCAAACTTGATTTTACTTCAAAGGAACTTGATCCTGGATGAAATTATAGAAAATAAACAAGCACCATAGAATGCAATTCCTGAGCAACATCTACTCACAAAGATCCAGTTACTGTATACAGTTTTCAAACTTGAAAAAAGACTTTCAAATGCCAGGAATAACTTATGGAGAGAAAACCTGGCAGGACAGGAAATAAAGCAGAAAAGGCTTGCCAAGAATCAAATTGATTTCCCACTAATGGTTCTCTTGTGTGATAAAATGATAGGCAGAATAGACACTGTGCCATTTTTTTTTTAACTACAATAAGATTATCTGGTCAGTACATTAAAATTTAACTGCATTCATAAAAGCCAAACAAATCCCACTATGATTAACCAGAAATTAGAAACAGGAGGAGCCCATCATGTCAGGAGAAAATGTTATTTTTATTTAAGCATTCTGTCTGCCTGCCTCTTAAAGTGATCTTCCACTTTGAAACAGAAACCTAAACTCTACAGAATGACTAAGAATGAGACCAGTTTCCTAAATAATCTCATAACTTGACTATGTCCTAATAATATTCATTTCGATAACTTAAAACCACTCAACTAGTGCAAGCTGAGGCTTTTCTGCCTTTAAGTCTTCAACCTCAAGCACCAGTGCTTGCGATTTAGATCAGACAGATTAATGACAGTTTCATGGAATTCTTAACATACTCACTTGAGAGTAAATCCTTCCTTCCCAGAATACTTCCCCATGTGAAATAATATTAAAAAAAGGTTCTACGTTCCTCAGTTCTCAGTGATTTTAATTATCTCTAATCAAGCTGTTTGGAGCTTCACTTTTTTCCACTAATGCATGCTGGGTATCAGACATTCATCTTATCACTCACTCTACCACTCAGCACAAGTCACAAGGGCCAGTCTCTCCAATGTCTCTTTGAGTTCCTTTTCAAGTAGCTCTCTCTTGAATGTCCTTCCTTAGCCTCCAGAGGGCTGGGTTTACAGGTGTGTGGCGCAGGCTTGACTTCCAACTTTATTTTAAAACAACAGAAATAGACTGACTCTTGTGTAGCAGCCCAATAATAGCTAAAATGCATTGCATCCTGGGGTTGCCATTCTAAAAGGTCAAGG